CTGTATGGGTAGTCCTCAACTTACGGCTATTTATTTAGTGACCATTCAAAGTTACAACAGCTTATGAGCATTTTTCACGTGGTCGTTGCAGCTTTCCCATGGTCAGTTGATCAGAATTCGAATGCTTGGCAACTGGCATGTACTCGTGACAGTTGCACTGTCCCAGGGTCACGTGATCACCATTTGTAACCTTCCCTCCTGACAAACAATAAGGGAAGCTTAATGAGCGCATGAATCACTGACCGGCTGTACCCAGCGTGGGGTCCTCAATGGAACCGCATCTACATAGAGGGAAGTGTGTAGTGGGGTGCCCCAAGACTCTGTTCTGGGCCCAGTGCTCTTCAACATCTTCATCAATGATTTGGACGAGGGGATAGATGGGGGACTCATCAAATCTGCAGACGACACCAAGCTGGCAGGAATAGCCAACACTCCAGAAGACAGGCTTAGGATACAGGAGGACCTGGACAGACTTGAACACTGGGCGCTATCTAACAAAATGAAATTCAAGGGTGAAAAAAGTAAGGTTCTACATTTAGGCAAAAAAACCCAAATGCACAGGTACAGTATAGGAGGTACCTTGCTCAATAGTAGCAACTGCGAGAGGGATCTGGGAGTCCTAGAAGACAATCATTTAAATAGGAGCCAGCCGTGTGCGGCAGCTGCCAAAAATGCCAACACAGTGCTAGGCTGCATCAACAGAGGGATAGAATCAAGATCAGGTGAAGGGTTAATATCACTTTACAATGCCTTGATAAGGCCACACTTGGAATACTGCATCCAGTTTTGGTCACCATGATGTAAAAAAGATGTTGAGACTCTAGAAAGAGTGCAGAGAAGAGCAACAAAGATTAGGGGACTGGAGGCTAAAACATACAAAGAACAGTTGCAGGAATTGGGTATATCTAGTTTAACGAAGAGAAGGACGAGGGGGGACATGATAGCAATGATCCAGTATCTCAGGGGCTGCCCCAAAGAAGAGGGAGTCAAGCTATTTTCCAAAGCGCCTGAAGGCAGGACAAGAAGCAACGGATGGAAACTAACCAAAGAGAAAAGCAACCTAGAACTAAGGAGAAATTTCCTGACAGTTAGAACAATTAACCAGGGGAACAACCTGCCTCCAGAAGCGGTGAATGCTCCAACACTGGAAGTTTTTAAGAAGAGACTGGACAGCCATTTGTCTGAAATGGTATAAGGTTTCCTGCCTGAGCAGGGGGTTGGACTAGATGACCTCCAAGGTCCCTTCCAACTGTATTATTATTATTACTTAACAACTGTGGCAAAAAGGTCGTAACATGAAGCACTAAATAACTGATAAGCCACAGTGGCCGAGTTCATACATTAAATGAGGGGTCCCCAACGTCGGCAATTTCAACTTGCAGAATTGGCTCGTTTAACGACCACAGCGCTTGATTAACGACCGCAGCAGCCACTTAAAAGTCGTTTCATCCAAAAGGGCACCACGGGCATGGAAAAAAATACATCTGTACTGGAGAAGATGCCCCTTAAAGCTTGATTCTGATGATTGTCTACCATTAAGCCAATATTGGCTCTTGATAGCCCCCCAAATTTTCTCCTGTGAAAAGTCCTTTAAAAACCTCCTGGGGGGGGGGGGTTTTCCAGCACTGCCCTTAAAAAAGATGGCGCCCGCTCTCCACCTCCATGCATGAAGATGGCGCCTTGCTACCTTGCCCGCGGTAGAAATGGCGCCGCCGCCGCCGCCGCCGCCGCCACCGTGAACTGGCCCGCACCAAAAATGGCGGAAAGAGCCCCACTCCGCCAGCAACCAAGATGGCGAGAAGGGCAAAAAAGACGCGGAAAAGGCCCAACGCTTC